ATATATATATATATGTATGTATGTTTATGAAACCAAGGCAATATAAATGTAAAAATAAATTCTTAGATGTTAGAACTGTAAATACATAAAAATTGTGTGGAGAGTAGATAAATCACCCCCAGAAATGGCTAGCTTCTGCAGCTGAAAGTTAGGTTGGTTTCTTCGCTTGTTTCAGAATTCAATAAATTGTCAGATGAAAATATGTAAGAAAAAAATTGACAAAAACGCATTCAAAAACTCGCTGAAACTTAAATAATTTAAAGACAAATATAATAATCCCAACTGAAGACAATAAAAATCATTGTCAAAACATAAACCTATATTAAAACATGTCTTAGATAGTAGTTGATAGCAGGCACATGATCCAAAACATCTAACTTTCAGCAAGTCTGCCATGACTCTCCTAGAGATATAAATCATAAAAAAACATATCATTCAATTCACATCTTCAACTTCATAGATCTTCTTCATCGCGGACCTCTGCCTTACGACGGCACTGGAAACAAAAACAAGCAAAATATTTATGACCATCAAACTTGATTACTACCTCATGGGAGAGCAAGGGATGAAAAAACATCAAATAAAAGATGGCTGGGGAACAAATGCAGGAACTAGCAGTATAACCGAGTCAAAATGATCATGAGTTAACATAAACTCTACTCAATAAATGGTTTGTGCTAATGCAATAAAAATGGTTGATGTAAAATACACTTACAATTTATTAGAATTCTGAAAAAAAAAATTTCCTCAAAACGGCACAAAATCTTTCCCAGATAAATCTACCCACAATCCCACATAATAAGAGAACGAACAACAGAACTTAAAAGTGCAGAGTTTTCAAAAATATTATCTAAAACTAAAACCTGGACGCTTACTCCTATCTAGTGTAGAAGAGAAAGGTAACTTACTGTATGTGGAAAGTATCAATTTGCTCTCAATTTGCTCTGGCAATTCCTTGATATCAACTTCAAATCTTGCTTGAACCTATAAGAATGGAAATTATTTGCCAAATAAATTCAGTCTGCCTCGTACAAAATCAAAGGAGAATGCAAATAAAAAACATCTGACCTGATTAAGAACGTCTGAATCAGATGCTGAGGAGACGAAGGTGATAGCCAGACCCTTGGTGCCAAATCTGCCAGCTCTACCAACCTGTGGAACAGCGTCAGAAGATCACCAAAAAAATATGAAAAATTAGGCTCAACCTCAAACAAAATTATACCCGGTGCAAGTAAGTGTCGGCAGAATCAGGCATATCATAGTTGATCACGATGTTTACACGCTCGATGTCGATTCCCCTCCCAACCAAATCGGTAGCAACAAGAATCCTTTTATGCCCTTCCTTGAATCCCTTGTACCTTGTTAATCTGTAAGTATCCAAACAGAAATATATCTGTATTTAAACACTAGCATTAAATATCAATGAAAGAAATCATGTAGTGTTAAGCTTCAAAGAAATTTATACATTCATAGCATAAAAGAAAGTCACATATCGTTTCTTATGAACATCGAATAAAAATGCATATAAAAAAAATCTGTGGTAATGACCAGAGGCTATTATACGAAACTCCACTCACTCCTAATGTGTCAAACAATTCGAGTACCACCTCCTTAAAGCCAACTGTGCCAGAGGGGATTCGAACCCCCGACCCGAGGGTCTTACACCGAGAATGCAAATCAATGAGCCGAGGTATGTGGCGCACGCGTGTCTATATATATAGAAAGAAAGAAAGAAAGAAAGATAGATAGATAGATAGATAGATAATTCATCATATTAGGGGATTTACAGTATCCAGAAAAATAATAAGTATGCAAATAAAATGAATCGACAAAAGGGAATTTAGTTCAGAAGAAGGAATGATAGCTCAAAAAACTTGCTGAAAATGCAACATAATGACAAAGAAAAACATGTAGACTGGAGATTATATTGTGAATCGGTTCAACAATTTATGACTAATCTGAAGTAACGATCAAGATCCACAAAGAACAACCCACTTTCTCCACCGTATCTCATATAAATTCCTTTAACATCCCATTACCGAAGAGAATCAACATAAAATATACTTCCATAATCATATAGGATAGAAAAAAGTGACAACACTGTCAATAAAGGGATGCAAATGTGTAAACATTCCAAAAAGAAAAGCAGCTTTAAGATGTTGCTCATTCCAGTAAAACAATGATCTGACACAACTGAAGAAATGAGCCTCACTGAATTTCTTCTAAAGAAAAAAGAGAGTTTATACATCTGTACCACAAAGTTATTAAATATTTACATATCTAACACTTAAAATTTGATATTTATATGCACACTCAAATCTTTGACACCGCATCAAAAATACCACAATTACTAACTTTTTAAAGTGAAATAAACCTTTTAATGCATAGGTTGATAACACCAAAGTGTAATAAATGTAAATATCGAACTTTAGTTGTTAGATATCTAGATACATAATAACTCTGGGGTATGTATGTAAATTTCCCAAATAAATATCATTTAGTAGAAAAGCTCCAGCAAGGCTACCACCCTATATGTTCAAAATAGGTCTGATAATGACATACAAGATGATGAATATTTAGTAACCATTTAGAAGTGAAGCCAAACCTTTCTTCCTGTGACATTCCAGAATGAATGCAGATAGATGGGAAGTTGCACTCGAGAAGCAATTTGTTCAGCTCTGCTGCTCTGCTGACACTCTTGACAAAAATTACAACCTGATTGAAATCCAAAGCATCCAGAAGATCATTCAATTTACGGTTCTTCTCCAATTCGCTGAGTTTGATGTAGTGCTGTCAGGAAAAAAAAATTAATTAAGTACAATTAAATTCACTGACAAATGTAGTGCTTACTAGAAAACTTTCATACCTGAAACTAACCCATGCAGGGTTAGGTTTTGCTTCATCATCCACATAAATTTCCATAGGCTGTAAGGGAACAAATGTAAAATTAGAGAAGACTAGTATCACATCTTCAAGACAGTTGAACCCAAAACCCAATGAATGACGAACCAACCACCACCACCGATGACCAATACAATTCGATATTCCAGTCCATTTGACATGAAAATCATAACTTATTCATGAAATATAATTGCTCAGAATTCTTACTGCTTGTCCAGTAACATGTTTAAAACCATGTGTGGACAGCTTTCTGACATCGAGAGGACAATCTTTGAGTGAATATGCCGCCCAAACAGTCAGAGAACTATTTGCATATTAAGCAACCTGACACGCTACTATCACTGATGATCAATTTAAGCTAGTACAAGAAATTGCTAGTTTGGATAATCCCTAAAACTTTTAATCCTAATAACACCTAAGACTGGCTTCAAAAAAACTCGGCCATCATCTTCCCTGCACTCTTATAAAGTTGCTTTACAATCTCGATCCCACCAAAAAGGAAATCCTAAACAAAGCTTGGAAAACTGAAAGATGCAGTTCCAATCAGGAAAGAATGAAGTCTGGCCATGGGACATTACATCTTGCATGAATTTCTTGCAAACAGGGCGTATCTCCTTGCTTAGCGTGGCTGAAAACATCATGACTTGTTTATCATGTGGAGTCATTTTGAAGATCTCCTGTACATCTCTCCGCATGTCTATGGAGTATTCAAAACCATGAAATGAAATTTTGAAAAAGAAAATAAATTATAAAAATTAATTAGTTAGAAAATTCAACCATAAACTATACAAGAGTATTATAACCAAGGTTTTAAAAATTTGATTTGACCAGCCAGTTCAACCAAATAGACCGTGAATCAGACATAACACCGGTCCAGTTATATTAAATTAAACATATAATCACGGATTTTAAAAACTTTAAACCTTAAATCTAATAAATATAGTTCAATCAAGTTAATTCAAACAACGCCAACAACTCTAAGGGAAATACAAGCTCAAATTGTGAAACTCTCATCTATGATATGAGTTATGATATGAGACAATTTTTTTACTATTTTTACATTTGAATTGGGCTGAAAAATGAAGAATTGTACTGTGAAAATTAAGCTCCAAATATACTTAATAAGTTTGTTTATACATTTGAATTATTTCAAATATAACTCATGTCAGGTTCTGTTAATTTTTTTTTTTACATATTTACATTAATACATAATTTAAATAATATTAAAAAAAATTAAATATGTATTACAGCATCTATGTTAACTCCAGATTGAACCATTTAACTTTGAACCTCTCCTCACAATTCAATGGCCGGTCTGATATTCAAAACCTTGATTATGATAACTGATAAATAATGCACCATACCAAGTGACTCTAGCATCTTGTCACATTCATCAAGGATGAAATGCCTCACATTCCTTAGAGAAAGGTCCTTATCTCTAGCAAGTGCCAGAATTCTTCCTGGTGTTCCAACAACTATATGAGGACATTCATTTTTCAGTATGTCCTTGTGCTTTCCAATGTGAACGCCACCATAAAATACAGCAACTTTGATGTCAATCAAGTACGTGCTGAATCTCTCAAACTCGTGACATATCTGCAAAACATGACATGCTCCATTTAACCACGGTAATAAAAAATAAAAAATAGGGAAATTTACATATATACAGCACAATTCCTTTGTATTTACATATCTAACACCTACAAGTTTGATATTCATTTCATATCCTCCATGCATAAAAAACTGTGCTTCATTTTTAAAAAGTAATCAGTTATGGTATTGTTTATGTACGTTAAAGTGCTATGTAGGAAGTAAGGTGTTAGATATGTATATTCATAAGAATTGTGTAACATGTATGCAAATGTCCCTAAAAAATATTCATTGAAGTGGCTATTTGGTGCAAACCTGGTAAGCCAGTTCTCTAGTATGACACAGGACAAGTGCAGCAACCTGACCAGAAACGGGCTCAATTTGTTGAAGGGTTGAGAGAACAAAAACTGCAGTTTTTCCCATTCCAGACTTCGCTTGACAAATGACGTCCATTCCCAAAATGGCTTGAGGTATGCACTCATGTTGTACTGACGGATAACCAAAGAAAATTGGAGCGAAGTACCCCCAGTAAGTAAAAAAATAATCTTCTGGGTCCTTTTAAATCAAAGCTTTACCATATGCTCCTCCAAATGAGAAAGTGGCAGTAGTGTTTACCTGGAGAGAATTAATAGAATACTCAATAAAAATCACGAAAGATTGATGCTGCCAATTCAATTTGTAATTTGACATCGAATCATCATAGAAGAAAATTCATGCAATAAAAAACAGTTTATTTGGCACGGCTTCGTAACAGTGCCCGTAAACATGATAAATAAAAAATAAGACTTCCTTAAAAAAATATGGCTTACGACCGTGCAATAAATTGCCAACTGCTTTTCCAAAACATCCCTTACTTCAAAGTGCATCATTTTAGTTCACCAAAAACCATCCTTAAGCATTTAGTTAAAATAGGTAACAATATCAACCTAAAAGATGGCCTGAATCCATATTTCAGTTGACACTACCAAGAAATCCTCAAATTAAGGTAATAAACATAAAGCAACAACACATTATGATGCTGGAGTTAAATTTACAAAAAAAAAATGTTTATCACAGAAGTCATAATTTCCAAGTAACAAAAGGAAGCAATAAATCGAATAATGTTCCACAAAACATGTCTCCTATAATCCAAAGAATAAAGGTGCTATTAATCTGCTTCAAGGCCCGTTTGGGGCAGCTTATTAGGTGTGGTGCGTTTTGAAAACACCAGTTGAAGCATTTGGTTCTTGCGGCGCAATGGCTTTTTCTATTATTTTTTTAAATGTGGGCCGCAAATTCGACCCCGCGGCCCGCATTTCTTCGCGAGGTTATTACCCCGCTGCCATCTCGACCATATGGCTCCCACTCCCGCGTATCTTCTGCCCTAGGCACCTCTCTTTCTCTCTCTCTCTCTCGTCTTTCTTCGGTGGTTGTCTTTCTCCTCCCCACTTCCCCCAAATCTCTGGTTACTACGCTTTGTACATAATTTATGTGCTCATTTTCAATGAAATGACTTTCTCTATGCGATTTTTGGCTCTCATTTGAGTTTTATTGTGAGAAGTTTGTGATATTGCGGTTTGTGGCTTTCTAATTTATTTCCTTTAATTTTGTGATTTGAAATTTGCGATAAAAATGAAAAATATGGAATGGAGTTTTTATCTCCATTGATTTTTTGAGTGGGAATTTGATAAATAGATGAAGAGTGTGCTTGATTAATAGATAGCAATGTTTCGGGTGCCCTGTATGTGACAGAAAGAAATGAAAAATATGGGATGGTCTTCTATCATTACCTCCATTGATTTTTTAGTAGGAATTTGAAAAATGAATGAAATATTGTGTTTGATTTGTACGTAGCATTGTTTCGGGTGCATAGTTTGTAATTGCCTCAATTCAAAAACATACAATTTTTATCTTTGATGTTTGAGCGAGAATTTAAAAAATGGATGAAAGAGCGTGCTTAATTTGTAGATGGCAACATTTCAAGTGCATTGTATGTAATTGCCTCAAATGAAAAATATGAGATTGGTTTTATCACTGTCATTGTTGTTTGAGTGAGAATTTAAAAAAATAAATGAAAGAGGATGCTTGATTTGTAGATGCAATGTTTAGTGTAAATTACATACAAAACAGCCAAAACTGGTGCATTTACCCTTGACATGATCAAATCTTTCATGTTGGTGGTTGGTGGTTTGGAGGTGGTGTGGTGTGGAGACTGTGGTGTGATGTTGGTGTTGGTTTTTGTTGATAAGGTGGTTGTGTGCTATTGATGTTGGTTGTAGGTTGTTTGGAGATGGTGGTGTGTTGTGGAGGTAGGTGATGTGGAGGTGGTGGAGTGTGCTTAATTTGTAGATAGCAACATTTCAAGTGCATTGTATGTAATTGCCTCAAATGACAAATATAAGATGGGTTTTATCATTGTTATTGTTGTTTGAGTGAGAATTTGAAAAAATGAATGAAAAAGGATGTTTGATTTGCAGATGGCAATGTTTAGTGTAAATTACATACAAAACAACCAAAACGGGTGCATTTACCCTTGACATGATCAAACCTTTCATGTTGATGGTTGGTGGTTTGGAGGTGGTTGTGTGTGATTTGGAGGCGGTGTGGTGTGAAGGTTGTGGTGTGATGTTGGTGTTGGTTTTTGTTGATAAGGTGGTTGTGTGCTATTGATGTTGGTTGTAGGTTGTTTGGAGATGGTGGTGTGTTGTGGAGGTAGGTGATGTGGAGGTGGTGGGGTGATGTGGAGGTGTGTTATTGATGTTGGTTGTAGGTTGTGTGGAGGTGGTGATGTGTTGTGGTGGAGTGTTGTGGTGTGCTATTGATGTTGGTGATTAGTGGTGTTGAAGTGGTGGTGTGTAGTTTAGAGGAGTGTTGGTTATGAAGTAGTGTGACGTGTGATAAATATGATGGTGGCGGTGTTGCAGATGTTCATATTTCTACCTTTTTTTTTATATACTCCCATGAATTTATGTTCTTTAGTTTTTTGAATGCTAGTTGTTGTAAGGGCAAGGCAAAAAAAATTGGTTCGTCTGCTGCCTAGGGCAAAAAAGATGACATTAATATTTTGTTCAATTTTTGAAATGAAAAACTACTTCTATTAGGTAGGCTATGAGAATTCTGAAAAATAATCCAAAAATTGAATAGGACATGCCGTTTCACTAGTTCTCCATGAAGTTGTTGGAAGAAGAGAGTTTTTCATGTCGATGAAAAGTAACCATATGATTAATTACTTAGATATCACTTAAGATATCATTACGACAATCAAGATACGTGAATTTTTTAGTTTTATTTTATAGACTATTTTATGTTATTGGATTTCAGATTTTTTCTTTTTCTGGATAGCTTCAAATTATTTCTTGCAGTAAAGTGTTCTTTATGGGCTATCTATTTATGTTAAATGCCATTAAATCTGATTCAATCTTCATTTTTAGTGATCTCTATTTACAAAATGAATATCATGGATAGAAAAAAATGCAAGAGAAAATTACAGTTGCATTATGTTTACCGTACAAATATTAGAACTCATATGTTGCTCGATCTTCATACATTTCTACTTACATATGCGACAAGTGGGTTAGGGAGTTGCTCGTGAGTCACCCCACAAGGTTGAACATGTTCTGAATGACAAACTACTTTCATTGATTTGATGGAGGAAAAGCACATAAATCATGGTCAACATGGCTAGTCCAGGATGACTTCAAGAGAGATGTTTAGCTATAGCATTATATTTTATCACAAAATGAGTCAATGAGGAGAGTCATGAAACGCTTACAGCACTCATCTGAAACTATCAACAGATACTTTTTAGTTGGGCTAAATGCTCTAATTAGTTTTTCATCAAAAGTTATCGTCATCGAATACCCTACATTCCAAAGCACACATGCACATCTCACAGGACCAACGTTATATGACATTTTAATGATGTTTCAAGTGTTCATATTTCCCTAAATTTATTTTAGCACAATGTCTCTAATATATTTGCTAATTGTTTCAGGGTTGTGTTGAAGCAATTAATGATAAACATCTTAATGCACGTGTTTCCAACGGTGAAAAGATTGCTTGCATTGAACGGTGTGGATCACTAACACAGAATGTGATGGTTATGTGATTTCAATACGTAATTCACATTTGTGACGGTCAGAAGAAAATGCAGTGCACATAACAGTCGTATTTTCAAATTTACTACGAGGAATCATAGGTATTGCAATCCTGATTTTGCGATGGCTAGCAATGTCACTCGGACAGGAAAGAGGTTTTCAACAAGAAACACTCCTTACAAGGTGTCATTGAAGGGACATTTGAAGTTTAGAAGAAAAGATGGGTCTACTCGACATGCATGCATATTCGTTTTTCAAACAAGTACGGATTATGGTCGTCACGATGCCTCTCCACAACTTTATTTTGCGGCATCCATCGTGCAACTATATTGACTTTAATAGGGCTGACAAAGATCAATCACATGACCCATTGAAGCATATGAATATCGTCTTGGACAATCTTTATCACAGGCCGAAATTGATTTGTATGAGACTTGCACCCAGGATGAGAAGTGACAAGCGAGATAATAGAGTTGAGTAAGCGAATTACGGTTGTTATTGTTGGAGGCTGAATGGAGGAAACATTCGTTTTCTTGTTGCTACTTTATTTGTAATGTATTATGTAAATTATTATTATTTATCGTATTTGTACTTTTACATGAGCGATAAAAATTTTGAATCTCAATTTTATTTTTAATTCTTATGCATGTATTAATTTCCACCTAGATTGTCAATGAGGCAACCGTTGATATAATATCTAATATAACTATCTCTTTTTTTTTTGAGGTCTATGATTAGACATTCGAACTTAAGGGTTCTTCCGGATAGCCTATATGTCATTATTGGTTTTTGTCACATGTGAAATCTCAAAGAAAGCAACTAAGTTCGTGTTCTTCTTCAGTGCTATGGTATTTGAGGTTCTTCTGGATGATTTTTTTTGTGATATACATATGTGACAAACTCGAGCTCGATATTACGCAGGTTAAAGATAATCAAGAACTTATTTTATTAATAAGATATGTTGTCTTTATATAGTGACAAATTTGTCAATTTATATATTGTGTTATATGAGACCTCAGAGCTGTATAAAACTTTAATTTATTACTTTTATTATTCATTTTAACTAATGTTGCATCTAAGGGTCTGTGTTTTGTGATTTTAAGCCTTTATGAAATAAGAGTTCAAAGATTTTCGGTACCGTCAAGAAAGATAAGGGTTTGTACTACTGTGGACTACAATGTTATTTGTTTACTTTGCACAGCCACATAACTACGAAAGAGTTTTACAAGTGTCCGAGGAGAATATCAGAATGTTGCAACTTCTTTAGGTGTGCGGATGGGTCGGAGGATTTCACCACCGATAGTGATAGGGCATGGAGATTTTCCTTGTAAGACTGCTTATCTCATGACATAAATCAAGTGCATTTAAAAAAAAAATATCATCATACTATTAATTGTTCTTTTAACAACTTGCTTTTTAATTTTGATTGCCGTTCTACTCATTGTTTAGTGAAGTGTATTTTTATTTGGTAATATTCGAACTTGATATTTGCTTCAAGTAAAGAATGTGCTAGTATGAACTTGATATTTACTGCGGAGTTCTTCCAGCCACAGCTATTACACAATAGCTTTTGAATAAGTTGCATCTGCCCCAAATAGACTCTGTTTCCCAATTAAAAAAAAAGTAAAGTAGAAAACAGGATTTAAAAAAAAATCCACAACAACAAAGTATAGCTTCCACATACCAAATAAACTATTCTAGATTCAAAAAAAATATTAATTAAAGGAAATTAAGGCACAACTAGACTTCATCTTACACATCAAACAATCACCACAAAATTCACTGCCACAGGCAAGGAAAAAAAATAACAAAGTTGCAATAAAGAAAGTTTCACGTTCGCTCTGCTAAAGCATCTTTTTTTTTCCGTCGGTTCTCAAGGTAACAATGCTTTTCTTCTACTCTGAAAAGGGTTTGTCACTACTCTTAGAGCATCTCCCATCACTGGTGTACGCAAGAGTTGTACTAATTGTCATCTTCCATGGCATTGGAGACATATCTAACACCATTACCCCATTTGCGGCCTTCTCAAATCTCTACTTCCCCATTTATGAACTGAAGCCTCTCTCTCTCTTCCAACCACATACCTACTTCCTCAGTCGCTTACGGCATACACCCATCTTCCAAAAATTGGAAAGTACTCTTGACTTCACATGTCCCCAATGCCACTAAATTATCGCTCCCATACAAACCCTGTTTGGCTTATAACATTCGCTCTTCTAAGGAATGAAGTTGTTGATGGAGCCAAGGACCATAGCCTGACTTTAGTTTGTCATGCAGTGGGATGAAGGCCCACTATGATAATCTCTACCAAGTTGTTCACAAACTTCTAAGTCTGAAAGGTACCTTTGAACTATTTTGTTTAGCAGATACTTATTTTTATTCAATTTTCACTGCATGGAGGATATGAAAATGATCTAGAATGGGGAACTTAACTCTTAAGTGATTGCCCGCTCATACTCAAAAAGTGATCTTCTAGTTTAAAGCCTATTAAACATAATTTTGTAATATTCATTGTCAAGATCAAACTATCAAATCTACATCTTTGTTGTTGGTATCAAAATGATATTTCTCAAATTATAAGTAAAAAAGGGAACATTCTATTGGTTGGCCTCCTCTTTGTTGCCAAATATAGGCTAATTTAACCAAAAATAGCATGCAAATCTCCACCAATTCACATCTCCCTGACCATATTACCAAAGTCTAAATGCGAGAACTAATCCAACCTTTTATATGAAAATAAAAACCATCCCCATACCTTAGTTGAATGCCCATGCACATGAAGCATCGACTTGTCCTAAGAACCCCACAGTAAACTCCACATTTCGACAAACCCTTAAGCACTTTAGTGGGAGATCGCAGTCGATGCAAAGCTAGGCAAGTGATTAGCAAAAATAAAAGTAGACCTCAGGTTTCTTTCTCTGCTTTGCCTAGCATAACCCCAAACCTCAAATCTTAAAAAAAAAAAAATCCCATTACCACCTACAATGTATCCTCTTTATTCCCAAACACAGGAAAACTTCCTCATCTCCTCAATCAAGCTCTGAAAGTCAAGATTCTTTTGCTTACTCATAGCTATCTCCCTACAAGCCAGGATAATTAGTCTCGTAAACGAATAACTTAAGTCGTTTATCCATATACAGCAGAAAATAGGGCATTGATCCTTACCTTAATTGGATTCTTCTTCCATGTTCAAAGTTATAATAACAAGGCAAAACTCCCCCTCTCTCTACTAATTATACTTGTGAATTTCCCAAATTGTTGCTTTGAAATATTCAAGGGTTAAATGGGAAATATTAGGTTTCGAAATATAGAAATTTAATCAATGATCATTGCCTTGAAAAGATTGGTCATCCAAAATATAAGACTACACTCAATTATGTGTTAGACCAATCTGCTTGAAGGAATTTCAAGGTTTTCCAAAATAAAAGACAAAGTAAACTTCACAGTTAGGGTTGTGAACAATCCAATTTTGAGCCAAGTTGTGGTCAGCGTGAAGGGTTTGAATGTGACTCGAAATTAGTTCGTGGATCATTGTATTCTATTTCGAACCGACTTGGCTCGAAATTTAATCGAGCTCAATCCGGATGAAAACCGAAATAAGATGGCTCAAATTGAGCTATTTGGATCCATTCTGTCTCGGAAATTAAAATGAGTCAACTCGTTTCGATCTACTTAAAAATTAATGAATACAAATAAATTACTAAAAAATAAAAAATCCTATAATTTGTGCATTCTAAATTTTACTTGGCATCCTATTAAAAAATACTCTGAAATATATGGTTATATATTTTTTTGAATTTTTGATTATATATATATATATATATAATCTATAAATTTAAACAATTTTTGAGTTTATCTCAAACCAGTTTGAGCCAATCCGTGTATCGCTCAAATCTGGATAAAAAAAAATTCAATCCATTTTTTAGCTCAACTCGACTTGCTTACTTCAATTTGAGCAAAATTTTGAACCTATTTTTAAACAATTAGCCGTCTTTGAGCTAAATTCTCTACCCTATCCACAATACATTAATAATTGCTTAGGTCCTATTCCCCCATTATGTTCTTTCTAACCTTTAATTATGCTAAAAATGGTGCTTATGAGATGAAAGCTCTTTGTGAAGCTATGTGTTATCATTGACCAAACCAATGGCCCGTGAATTCTCTCAAATGACTGCAACTACATAAGATGATATGAACATAAAAAATAGGGAGTATACTCCTAGGCCAAATAAGTTTGTTAACATAGTAATTGTGCGCCCTATCTAGGTTTAAGGGAGCTACACCTTAGATTTTTCTCTTATAATTGCTTAAAAAATAGAAATTTAATCAATGATCATGGGATTGATAATATTGGCAAATATGTGATTGATGCAATTCATTATTATTTTTCCATTGCCAAGCTTAATGAGAGTGTAAAACATTCTACTATTTCTTTCGTTAAAAGAAGCTCAATATCTCTTAATAACTCAGACAATATCTCTCTACAACACAAAAAAGGTTATTCCAAAAATGATTGCTGACATATTAAAATTGATCATTCCTAACTTGATTAGTCACGCTCAATTTTCTTTCAATTAAAATAAAGATACTACTGACAATATTGTTCAACCTACAACTATTTAGGGGTTTCAATCTTTCCAATTCTCCTAAACATTTTTTTATGGATCTGTATAAAGATTTTGACTAGTGTTAATCTTGGAATGTCTCAAAGGCTTGCTCTAAAAAAAAACATATTTGTGATTAATGAATATATCAAAAAAGTCCAAAGAGCTCATTCGTAATTTATACTCCACCAATGGTGTGAGACAAGGCTATCTTCTCTCTCACTTCCTGTTCACAATTCTTATGGATATTCTATCTTGTATGTTAAACAAAACTATTTCAAAAATCCTTCAATGTGCTCTAAAACACAACAATATCTCTATTTTCTACTATATTTTTTTTATATGACTTGGCCATTACTGGTAAAACCAATCACAACACAATTCACTATCTTAAAAAAATGTTTCATCAATTTTCCTCATTGAATGGGCTAATGTCAATCCTTACAAATTGGCTAGATGATCCTTGTGATGCAAAACTACAAGCCTCCCATCTTGGCATTTTTTATATTCCTTCCCTTGGAAGCATTTAGGTCTGATAGTCTCCCTCGGTCAAACACAAAACCACTTATTGCATTCCCATTCTCAATAAGCTCTTTGATTAGAGCAGTTGTTAAAAACAAGAACCTTCCCATTCCATAATAGATTGCAGTTCATTAAAACTACTATTTTAAGTCACTTGATGAGATTTACAGTAATGCCTGAGGGGGCTGTACAATAATTACTAATGTGAAAGCTAACTTCATCGTAACAAGGTGCAATTTTGTATGATTGTTATTGCTTGGCGCATAAGTACTTTATTTAGAGAGAATGGTGGACTGAGTATTCCACTTTTGGATGGTCTTAATATGATATGAAAGGATTATAGCAATCATAACCTAAAGTACAAACACACTTTGCATAACATGGGATCTTGCCTTCGGAGGGGTGCTCAAATCCAGAATCAACTATGGCCCGTAGAAGCTCTGGTTTCAACAGAAAATCTCTAAATCCGGAGCTGTGTATTCCAACATAACCCCTGCATTTGATCAAAAAACCAAAAGAGATTAGAATCAATAATGTCCATGAAATAATTTGGGTCAATAAGAATATTCCTACAGCTTTGGCTGCCAATATGAAGTTAGAGATGTGAAATAGAAATTTTCTAAAAGAGGGGCAATCTGATAATGAGTAACTGACAGATCGAGCACCGCAATGCCATGCATGGACAACTTCGCTATGTGCCAATAACATTACAAAAAAATACATAAATAAATAAAATAAAATAAAAAACTGCACATGGAACTTGCTATGCCATTCAATTATGTTGGAACAAGCATAAAGAGTTCTTTGACATGTGATGACTAGGGAATTGAATGTTCAATTATTAAAACTATCACTAGACAATCTAATTCACTAAAAGTAGATAATTAAATTACAAGATAGAACAAAACATATTTTTTCAAGCATATCAAAACAGCTGACTTCTCACTTTGAGATATAACCACTTGAATACATTACACTATGAAAAAAGTTTACAGATCCAAAGCCACTTGATGCATAGAAAGATAAAAGCAAGTGTCAGCCAGGTTAGAAATCTACTTCGCAATAAAGGGTCGCCGTAACACATAAATCTACACAAATTTCAAGTGGATGAGAAAATCTATGAATAAGAATTAAAGTGAGGGGATTTGTCTTACTTCTTTCCTGATTCGCCGTTGATTTTCGCCCCAAGCGAAACAGTAGCCTTCTCTTCTTCATCGTCATAGTCAAGAAGCTCCTCCTCGTAGGCGTCGTTCTGCCTCACTTCACCCATCCTGCAATCCAACGAAATATTAAATCTACAGATCAAAATCACTCTAAAACAAAAAGATCAATACACATACATTGCTCAAGCAGCGCACAGACACTATCCTTAAAAAGTGGTATATCCAAAAGATGTCGGAGTTCGGAAAAATCAATTCTGCAAGAAAAAACGGTAATTATAAAGTGGAGACCCGGGCTAGGGTTTCTGCAGTGAACGAGAGTCGAGAATTGGGACAAAGAAGATCGCAAACTTCCTAAAAATAGAAAATCAATAGGATTGAAAGCAGAGAGAAGAGAATGAGGAGAAGAAAACCTAGGGTTTCGAGAGACAAAAGGGAGGGATGGAAAAGTATGGAATGGCCGGCGGTTAGCGGATATGCCATTTTATAGGCAGGCATTAAACCGCCAAGATCCACCGTTAAATGGGCGGTCCAATCGCCTTAGGCAGATTGGGTGGACAACATGTATAACCATAATTAGTGGCAGAGAGAATCCTTCAAATAATTTCATTAATAGGTTTTTGCATATATGGTACGCAAAATTTATTTATTTACATATTGACGGCGGAACCCTCATTTCCTTCATGATTTGTCCCCCATAACCCGTGTCGAACTCCTCTGCGTAACTGTGATCTCTTGCTCCTCTTCCTCCTCTTCTCCTGTGTTTCTCACGCTATCTGGTTCCTCTTACTCCTCTTCTTCCACGTTTCTCACGCCATATGGTTTCTCTTCCTGCTCTGTTCCCAAGCGGTAGGCACATTTTTTGTCGCATAAATTTTAGGAACAGTTCTTTGAATGCAAGTATCCATGTGAATGTTTGTTCTTTGGATTTTTTATGTTTGATATGTAAATATTGTTCGGTGGTATGGATGTGAATGCTTGATTTTTTAGTGAGTTCTTAGTGGCTCGATTTTTTGTTTGGTAAATTATAAGAATAAAATATGTTTTTAAGGATGTGGCTTGGGGATGTAATCAGCAATCTGATGTTAAATGTGTTTGAGTGAGTTATTGGTGGTTGTGGCTTGGTCATTGATGTGAATACACTTCATTTTGGTGGTTTGCATGATAATCTAACACAAATAAAAGGAAAAAAATTACTAATTGTAATATTGATTTTTTTTTAGCATACTTTATACTCACTGTTACGTGAGGTGTTTATCTGAATTTTTGCACTGTTTTGAAATGAATTTTTTGCTTCTGAAGTATCAAATATATGATCAGAACAGATCTGTTATAAACAACATTACTACACAGAAGTGGAAAAGTCATTTTTCCAGAAACAACTATCATACAATTATTTTAAAACCGCATAAAAGAAACAACTAGTCCGCTTCCCTGCAACTGTTTTCTAGGACAGCTAAGTTGCAGCAGCTTATTGATAAGTTGTAGTTGCCCAAAACATACTCATATATGTATGTCATCTATATACAATTTCTTAAGCTTGCTTCCCTTCTCAAAGCTTGAAGCGATCCATCCTCTCCTCTCAGCTCTGAAATTGCAAAATTTTCAATATAAAATTCTCGAGCCTTCTAAGATGAGACTCTGAGGACCCTGGAGTCGATAAAACTGGCAATTAGAATCCCGACCAAGCTCCAAATTCCATAGCCGAATACTTGCTTGTCAGAAAATCTATGTCAGTCGAATGAATTCAGCAGAAATGAGGAACGAAAGCTTTCATAGATGAAGCGTATTTTGTGTAATTATATGATTTCCCTCGCCTTAATATTAGATTTTGGGATTCATAATATGTAAATAGGAGTGTTTCACCTGCTATGTTTTTAAAAATACTTATAATTAATTATAATATCTCAGTGAAGTGGATAAATATTATTATTATAGTAATTTAAGTGTTGAATTGAATCACACCAAATGAAGGAAACATAAGAAAGAAGAGAGAGACAAAGAGAGGAGTGAAAATTAAAGATCATTAATATCTATTATCTTAGTCATGAAGCGATCCCCCTATTTATAAGGGATAGAGTACAATATGATATTGTTACATTTTTTTATGTGTTTTTAATGAGGGATGTATATGTTATTCCTGGTATTTTACAAATATGAACATATATTCTTGACATTTTAAAGATATGGGTCTATCACTTAACTACTCTTTGGGTCAGTCAATAGGACGCAGTTGGCTTTCGCTCGGCAGGACTGGTTTGGTAAGCTAAGCTTAGACGGTGTCTTCAGTCGGCTGATCTTGGTGAGCTTCGGGTCGACAATGCTATTTCGGTCAATTGAGTAAGTCTATATGCGACACTTAATAATAGACTGGGGAGCTTATGGACCTCCCTTATATGATTGGATATGTCAAGGTGTTAAGTCTTCCCTCAAATTGACTTTTTCATTTCAGTTAACTTGAATATCTCTGTCTCATTTTTAACTTAATCACTCAGATTCAGATAATTTTGTCGTCTTCATGACTCGGTCGACTTTGTCATTGCTAACTTTGGCTCGAATGGCTGCATCCAATAGGATAAGTGAGTATTCTAATCTTTTGTTGGTTGGCTCTCCTTTGTTATACCCTATTCTTAGATCTTCTCAAGATTAGTGCCGACACATTTTTTATGCAATTATTTAAGTTCCCCAATTTTTTTTTTATTTCTTGAAAGCGACGATGAGATAAAAATAAGAGAAATTACAAAAAAAAAAAGGTTGATAGCAATTACTCTTAATCAATGATTCAATGCTTGAAATCCCTTGATTTTTGTGACTTTGGTTCTTATAAATAGTTCATGTGAGGCTCTTTGACACCCCATATTTGTTTGGCATCTCTTCTCATCTTTGTCGGTTAGCTTTTAAGATTTATCATGGAGAACGTGTTGAAGCTTCTGATCGACTGACATAGATTGTCGGTTACATCCTCTGAGTGTGATTGACTCTTTGATATGAGGAATCTTGATCTTACTTATTATGTTTTAATTTTTTTTCTCATTTATTTATGTTGTCTTTTGATGCAACTAACCAATCGAACCTGGTTGATGACTCACCTCTAGAAAACGTTGTGGGAATTTGATTTTGATCCTAATGGTAGTTGCCCAAGCACTAGCCGACAACGGCTGACTCTCAATTGAGGATGGTGGATTGACTACCTGGGTAGTCCTTGTGTGGCCCAAAAGGAAATAGCTAATGGATGTTGGACATCTCCCAGGTTGTTGTCTTGTTGCTTGGACAAGATCGAAAACTCCTTCTCTCGATCGACTAAGATTCAACGTGAGGAGAAGAGAAGTAAGCCGACAGCTCATGTGGAGAATTTAAAGATGATGGCGAAGGAGATGATAATTGTTTTTCGGGAATTGTCAAATGTTTGTGATATTTGCCTCATACTTCAGGCTCAAGCCTAGACAAACCAGATCAATTCAAGTTTGGGGGACAAGTTTTATGTAAGAGACTGCAATGGTGGGACATGTCTTGGCTGAGGCAGTTGATGATTGCCTTGTAAAATTTATTCTCTCATACTAGTTTCTAAGTGTTATTTGTAATGTCTATTGACGAAATAAAATTTATGTTTCCTGATCGAATCTTGAGTTAATGTGATTTTTTCGTCAACAATTTTCAAAATTATATTATAATTTTATTTTTACCCATGTGTGATGGTTTCACTTTTTTCTTTGCACTGCATTTAAGGGTGAGGGTTGGATTGTTAATGTGCTTTTATTGCCTTTTTTTTCTTTTCTTATCCTCATACTCTCGACTTTCTATTCTTTGTACTCTATTGTGATGACTCCTAAATACTCTCTGAAATCCTTCAAGTCGATAATCACAACCGAACGATTGACCCAAAGGGAGGATTGGCAAAAGGATGCTTGCGTCTACGATTCCTCCATTAGGGTGAGTGCAACCGAACGACCACTCCATACAACCCCGATCTCATCTTTTGTAGGGATTAACTTTGTCTTAGCTTGAAGTTGCCTCTCTGTCAAGAGCTATGAGTTATCTTCAACCATTACAGCGTCATCCCTACTCAGATTTTGCCTACTTCTATCATCATCATTATAACATTTGTCATTTTCTACCACATGTAAGAGATTCGTCGGTCAACAAAACTCTTTGCCTATCCTTTGTCATTTCAGATCAATCTAGAAGGTTATGTACAATTTGCCTATCTTGGTTGGTTTTGGATGCTAGAGATGGAGATTAAGGTGAAGAATTAGAAGCTCTAATTCTACATCAAATCTTCCCCTTCAAGTTGAAACATAGAATGTTTCATCTAGAAGCCATCTCATTGAGTCCAAAAAGAAGGTATTACATCAGGTACCAATGGAAACAATAGTGGTCGAAGGTCAACAACTTTTAGTTTTCCAGTATCTTAATATAGTAATTTTCAACCGAATTTTTGCAACCAGAGAAGTTTAAGCCAATGATGAAGGTCGTTTGGCAGCCTTACACTTTGGAGGTAGAGTGGGAGGCTGGGGCTACTGCCTGAGCTATAAAGAAGAAGGTTGGCACAATCGGTTGTTCTAAAGCATCCCACTTTAGAGCTGACAAAATAGCTAGTAAAAATATACCTTTGATGGTCCATGTCGGTGAAGACCTTGAAGGTGCATAACTTATTTATTCTTTGCACGAGTCTAAGGGTCCATTTGGGGTACCTTATTTTGGCGCGGTAGCGTTTTGAAAACGCACCTGACCTGTTTGGGTAAACTGTGTTTTGACAGCTTATGTGTTTTCAAAATGCTGAAAACAGTCTGCACCTGTCTATGTGTGGTGGCAGCATTTTGGTCGCGGTCTGATTTTTCAAAAAAAAAATTATAGTAGTCACCGCGCATAGCTTGTTGACAGATTATTTTTAATCAGCTTATCAGCAGATTATTCAATAAGCTGCAACTGCCCCAAATAGATCCTAAATTTGTTTTTCAAATGATTGTTATCATAAAGCTAATTATTATAGATAAATGTTCTTATGTGATGCCAACTAAAAGCTTTATATCAGTTATAGTTCCTTTGGGTTCCGCGAAACCAAGAAACTGAAAAGACGTCGAGCTGTTGGAATCAAGTTGTGCAGGCATGAGGCTTCAGCAGAAAGACCATAAGTGGGAGTTTTGACCCTTATGTCGGCGGATCTTACATTCTTTGAGTTATTGGCGAGGGATGAAGCAAGTCCTCTTCTCTCATTGTCCCAAGCAAACTTGGGTCCGAGCCAAATCCTCTTGTTGACCTCACTTTTGGTTGAGGTCTAGAAACTTTTTTAGTAGCCTAGGTCTAGCCATAAGACTTTTCCTATTGACTAGTCTTAGAAAACTAGAAAAGGTACCCTCACCAATAGAAATTCAAAACTCTTCTCTTTACTCAACTTGAAGTTCCACATATTGATTCCAACCTCTTACAATTAGTAGGTGAGAT